GCAGGGGCCGCCCCTCGGCACCCCGTCCCCGCCCCCGGCCCGCGGCCCGGCCGCCCGCCCCGCCCGCTGGCCCGCGGGGCCGCCCTCCTATCCCGCCGTCTGTCAGGTGCGAGTGGAGCGGGGCGGAGGTGTCTGGTAAGTGACTTCCGCGGCGGCGCGGGGGCGGGGGTACTCGGTTCGGGGAGAAGGACGCGGGGCTCCCGGACCCTCTGGGGCTCCTCAGAGGCTGGCCCAACTGCGACGCGGCCCCAGTCTCCCTCTGGGCGAGCGCGGCGCTCGGAGCGGCAGAGGGCACCGAAGCAGGAAGGAGGGTCCTCCAGGTGCGCCTCTGGACGTCGGTCGGGTGTGCCGGCTCTCAGCGCCTGGGAGGCTGGGCAGCCGTCGGGGGCGGGACCCCGCACTCCAGCCCTCCCACCGGCAGCTCTGCAGGGCGCTGGAGCCCCAAAGAGCCTTTCCCGCCCGTCTCCCCGCCCGCCACCCCCCCCCCCGGCACTGCCAGCCCACTCTTGGGCGTGGAGTCATCCGGCCGGCGACCTTGGACCCCGACGAAAAGCAACCTTGCCCTTTCTTGGCACCCCTCCCCCGCTCCAGGACCGCCCCCCACCACACACACACACACATTCGCCCACCCTGCTGTTGCCCAGGCCCAGAGCCCGGAGACCCAGCTTTAAACCCCGAGCCCCATGGTTGAAGTGTCTGGCACAATGTCGGTGCCAAATGCCCTGCACCCCTTCTCTCTCCCCTGAATTCCTGAGTCTCCTCTCCCGCTCCAGGGACAGCTCCGAGGGCTACAGCGTTCCCGAAGCCCTAGAGCAAAAGCCAAAGAACCCACCCGACCCTCACGGGGTCCGGAGCACGCGCTCCCGTTTGGTCCGGGAAAGGGGGATGGGGAGCTCGAGGACCCGGCAAAAAACGGTGCCCACGCCCAGCGGCGGCAGGAACTGCAAGCTAAGGGGGTGGGGGAGAGCGGGGCAGTGGGGAGACAGGGCCCTATTGACCACCCGGCAACGTGGAGGAACCCCCAGATGGGCCCAGTACTAAGTCTCGGCCGGGCCCTGGATGCCCGCCCAAGGACTTGAGAAACCGGGTGCCCCCTAGACGCCGGGGCCACACGGTGCTTCCCCAGCGGGGGACAGGGCTAGGAGCGCGGGAGAAGAATATTACACTTTCCTAACCCAAGCGCCTTCTGGGCCTCCTGGTTATGGGGGTGCTGCCTGCACCCTCTGGCCGGATCTGGCGGTAGCACGCAGCGGGCACGCCGAGCCAAGCCCGGTGTCCCACAAGGTCGAGTCGGGGACTCCAGCGGCGGCCCTTCGACATAAGTCAGTTCCAGGCCGGGACTCCGCAGGAAGCACTGGCGGCACTGCACCACCGAGCACTCAGCTAACACAATGCCCCAAGTTCAGGGCGGATTGCAAACCGGAGCTCAGCCTGGCCTTTCGTCCTGCCCCAGGTTCTTTCTCACAGGCGGGGCGCGATGCAGACGCCGGCTCTCGGCCCGACTTTGTCCGCGCTCAGACAGCCAAGGTCTGGGCTGAATCTCCCGGAAGAGTCTTTTGGGATGTGGCGGGTCACTAACCGTCGGCCCTGCCTTTTTTCGTGTACACAAGCTCACAGGCACAGGCACACCCGAACCGTGTGCAACCCCCAGGCCACCGCACTCCGGGCACGCACACGCATGCACATGCACGTGTCCACAAGGCACGGGCCTGCTCACGCGCACACTGGGCGCACTGGTATCCAGGCGTGGCTGAGCGCGCACACACGCACATGCAGACAGCTACTAGCTTCTACTCGCGCTCCCAGTAATCACACACAAACACGCACTCGCCCTCCCGTCCACACGTTCCTCGCCGGGTGCCGGAAGGAATCTGAGCGCCCTTATTTTCCCACCACTGAACCCCGCGCGCCGCCGCGGGAACCTCCCGGGCGGGGCCTGGAGAGGGGATCCCGGCCCGGGTTCTCCTCCGTGTTCGCCGTCCTTTTGGAGTTGGGGGCCGTGGCCGAGATTGGCGGCCAGCTCTAGGTCCCGAGCAAACACCCAGGGGCCGACAGTGCCATCTAGCGGTGCGTACAGCCCTGGGCGGGGCTGCTCACTTCCCCAGATCCCAGGCCACCTGGATTCCAGAGAAAGGCGCGGGGCGGAGGAGGGCGGGAGAGTTATGGTCAAGGTGTCTGCGGAGGACTCCGAGGGGTTCAGAAAGACAACTTGGGTGGGGGGCGGGGAGACACTGCGTTACGCCCTGTCTACCGCTGGCAGCCTCCCCAAGCGAGCCCAGAACGGGGCTAAATCACCGGCCACCTCACTGGAGACAAATGTCCCCGGTAGGGACTAGAGATCTGTTCTGGGAGAGCTAAGTGAAGGAGGGGGCAGGAAATCGGTGGGGACCCTACCCAAGCCTCCCTACACCCGCGTCTAGTCGTGTGGTTATGAAGGAGAAAGAGCAGAGGCAGGAAATCAACTGTGAGGCGGAAGCACCTTGCGGTTGAGAAGGTGGCTCCTGGGTTCAGTGCTGCCCGCGTCACCCGCCCACCCTCACCCCCGCCGCGACCCGCCCCTTACACACTGAGTGACTTTGGGCAAGTTAACTGACATCATCATCATCTTTAAGAAGATATATCTTTAACATGAGGGTACTAATACTACCTGCCTTTTCAGGCTGCTGTAAGGATTAAACCAGAGAATCTATGCAAAAAGCTCAGAGGGATTCCTGACTCATAGTAAACACTCAATAACCAAGAGTGATTATGTCTTTCCTCCCCGGCTGATGCCCCCGGCCCGGGTTCTGGCCCGGAGAGGCGTGCCTGCGGGCTTCCCTGGGCCTGGCTGGCGGAGAGATCACTCCTTGCCTGCCTGCGTCTGGTGAGGGCAACCTCTCCAGGCTGGTGCTTCTGCCCTCCCAGCTCTGAGGCTGACACCTCAGGTACTATTCCAGAGGCTCTCAGAGGTGAGAGGGGCTGCCAGACACTGCGGAGGGGGCCTTATCTGGTCTTTGCCTTTGACTCATTTGTGACCTTGGTGTGTGTTGGGGGGGGCGGTAACACCACCCATCTCTTAACCTCTCCTCCCGTGCACCAAGCATTTGGACAGGCAACTTCGAACTACCAGGCCAGGAGGCTGGGTCTGTGTCTGTGATAGTGGATTAGGGTAGGGGGGCTGAGGCCAGGCTTGGGGGGCACCTGGGGACTTGGTCCCAGCCTCCAGTGGAGTTCAGTTGCCTATCTCCATGGCCGCAGCTGCGTCCCGGTGGGAGCTTGTCCCAGGACGAGTCCTCTCCATTTTGCAAATGAGAGAAGTGCTGGGAGGTGAGGTGGCTGGTCTAAGGCCATGCAGCTAGATCCCCGCTGGCCTTGAAGCCTGTGCTACATCGAGAGTGCTCTTCCCTCCCTCCCTGCACACCACTCCCCTGTCCCTCTCTGTCCCTCTCTCACACGGTCACACAGAACAGGGTGTATGACAGTGGCTGGTGGGGCTGTGATGGGGTCCCTGCGTGTGTGTGACGGTGCCGGTGTTGGCGTGCGGGGAGGAGCAGGCGGAGCAGCTGCCCTGGCACAGCGTGCAGGGCGTGGGCCTCCCTCGCACATTTGGGAGAGGAAGAGGGGGAGGGGCCGGGTGGGAGGAAGCGCGGGCTCCGCGGGCAGGGGCCTTGCCTGGGGGTCGGCGGCTGGTGTACTGGTGACCAAGGGGTGCCGGCAGGGGCAGGCTATGGGCTCTTCCGCAGCAGCCCCTCTCTCCCCTCTGGGACAATGTCACCCTTTGTGTTCTCCCAAAGGTCTTGGGGCTGGCCCTGGCCCCTGGGAACCCAGGGGTGCCTTTCCTCAGTTGATGGGCCCTTCGGGCTTCTGATGGCTCACAGGTCTCAGCCCCTGGTTGCTGCCAGACCCCAGGGACCCTGCACCTCACCCCATGCCCTGGGGTAGGGCGGAAGGCTCTGGGAGAGGCGACGCACCTCCCTAAGCCTCCCTGCATGGCACCCCCTCATCCTCAAGGCTCCCAGCTCCATGCCTCCTCCCCGCCGGCCCCCCCCCCCTCTGGGAGGCCTTCTCCCAGGTGTGCTCCCTGGCTCCTGTGGTTCCCTGGGCCTCCGTCTGCCCTAACTCAGCTCTGGGACAGCAACACATCAAGGAGCTGTGGGACCTTGGTCAGGGTAACACCTCTGTGCCTCAGTTTCCTCATCTACAAGTAGTGAAAAATAACGGTACCTACCTCAGAGGTTTGCTGTGTGGATGAAATGAGTTAATACCTATACAAAGTGTTGAAAGTGTCTGGCACTTGGTGGAGAATAAATGTTAGCTGCTAATATATACTCTTTTTTTGTCCTCGGTGCCTTCTGTAGGCATTGGAGAGCAGGTCCTCTGGTAACGTTTGCTTAAGAAATAACCAAAGGGCTGAATGAACACTTCTGACCAGAGTCACATGCTGACCTCTGGGACCACTTGTCCCCTCCCCACTCCCTTCCCGGGGTCCCACCCACGCTGGCCCTCTGTCCTAGCCTCAGGTCCTTTGCTCTTGCCATTGCCCTTGACTGGGCCACTTTCTGAAGCTCTTCACTGGCCGCCTCCTTGTCGTCCCTCCAGGTCACCTCCTTGGACAGCCCTTTGTTGAGCACCCAGCAGGGAGCATTCCTGCCCGTCCGCTGAGTCACTGTCCGGCCATCACCCTGCCTTATTTACTCTCTAGCATTTTGTTGTTGTTGCTCCCTTGTTTGTATGATCAGACTGTAAAGTTCTCGGGGGTGGGGGTGGCGCAGAGCAAGTGTGTCGCACTCACTTCCATAGCTGCAGCCCCCAGAACTCACTTGATCAGTGAGGCATGAACGAATGAGGAAGCAATGGGACAGAGTCATCTAAGGTTCTGCAGGATAAGGTGCTCTGCCCTCGGGACTCCAGTGTGCCCCCCCGCCATTACCCCTTAATCCACGCCAACAGCCCAGCCAGCCATTCACCTCTTCCCTCTCCTTCCTCCTCCAGACACCGCCCGCCCAGCCCTGCTGACCAAAATGGCGAATTTCACACCGGTCAACGGCAGCTCGGGCAACCAGTCTGTGCATCTGGTCACATCAAGCCACAGCCGCTATGAGACAGTGGAGATGGTATTCATCGCCACGGTGACAGGCTCGCTGAGCCTGGTGACTGTGGTGGGCAACATCCTGGTGATGCTGTCCATCAAGGTCAACAGGCAGCTGCAGACGGTCAACAACTACTTCCTCTTCAGCCTGGCGTGTGCTGACCTCATCATCGGCGCCTTCTCCATGAACCTCTACACCGTGTACATCATCAAGGGCTACTGGCCTCTGGGCGCTGTGGTCTGTGACCTGTGGCTGGCCCTGGACTATGTGGTGAGCAACGCCTCTGTCATGAACCTGCTCATTATCAGCTTTGACCGGTACTTCTGCGTCACCAAGCCCCTCACCTACCCAGCCCGGCGCACCACCAAGATGGCGGGCCTCATGATCGCTGCTGCCTGGGTCCTGTCCTTTGTGCTCTGGGCACCTGCCATCTTATTCTGGCAGTTTGTGGTGGGCAAGCGGACAGTGCCGGACAACCAGTGCTTCATCCAGTTCCTGTCCAACCCAGCGGTGACCTTTGGCACCGCCATCGCCGCCTTCTACCTGCCCGTGGTCATCATGACTGTGCTCTACATTCACATCTCCTTGGCCAGCCGCAGCCGAGTTCACAAGCACCGGCCCGAAGGCCCTAAGGAGAAGAAGGCCAAGACCCTGGCCTTCCTCAAGAGCCCCCTGATGAAGCAGAGTGTCAAGAAAGCCCCGCCAGGAGAAGCTGAGCGAGAGCAGCTGCGCAACGGGAAGCTGGAGGAGGCCCCGCCACCCGTCCTGCCACCCCCGCCTCGCCCAGTGGCCGACAAGGACACTTCCAATGAGTCCAGCTCAGGCAGTGCCACCCAGAACACCAAGGAACGACCACCCACAGAGCTGTCAACCACAGAGACCACCGCACCCGCCACGCCTGCCCCTCGCCTACAGCCACGGTCTCTCAACCCAGCCTCCAAATGGTCCAAGATCCAGATTGTGACGAAGCACACAGGCAACGAGTGTGTGACAGCCATCGAGATTGTGCCTGCCACACCAGCTGGCATGCGCCCAGCAGCCAACGTGGCCCGCAAATTTGCCAGCATTGCCCGCAACCAGGTGCGCAAGAAGCGGCAGATGGCAGCCCGGGAGCGCAAGGTGACACGGACCATCTTTGCAATTCTGTTGGCCTTCATCCTCACCTGGACACCCTACAATGTCATGGTCCTGGTGAACACCTTCTGCGAAAGCTGCGTCCCTGAAACGGTGTGGTCCATTGGCTACTGGCTCTGCTACGTCAACAGCACCATCAACCCTGCCTGCTATGCCCTCTGCAACGCCACCTTTAAAAAGACCTTCAGGCACCTGCTGCTGTGCCAGTATCGGAACATTGGCACTGCCAGGTAGGCAGGCAGGGGTGTCCTAGGAGGTGCTGGTGGTCGCGTATGTGTGCTGGGGGACCACGTGGCTCAGCTGCTGTAAGGGCAGGATTTGAAGGCACCTCTGTGTTCACGGTCAAGGGGCGAACTGAGGTCCCCGTCAGCCTGTGAGGCTCAGGAAGAGGCTCTGGCTGGATTCAGAGAAGACCAGCGCGGGCCGAGGAGGGCGGCGTCTGAGCCGGGACTGCTTGGCCCATCTTGGCAGGCTTGGCTCTGCCTCAGGGAGCCGGGGGCACTGACCTGCGCGGACACCTGCCCCACTGTGACCAGCCAGCGTGGCTGAAAGACTGGACATCTGGAGGCAAGCAGAAGCCCAGGACCCCCTCGGGACAAGCAGAGGCCAATGCTTGGGAAAGGAGGCTCAGGAAGGGAAGGGTAGGGTCCCCCATTCTGTTGTAATCGGTGCTTTCTGCCCCCTGCACCCCGCATGTAGGCTCTGCCCCCTCCTCCCAAATACCACTCCAGGGGTAGAAATCTCTCTTTGCTGCAACTACTTAGCCAGGTACTTGCTGGATGGGCGGGCGGAGCGGGCTCTGGGGCACGCCCTCCTTCCACAGCACAGTCCTGGTCACCGTCACTGCGGGCCAGTAGGAGGGCACCACACTCAGGAGCTGAGGCCCAGCTTCCTGCCGTCCCAGCCTGAGCGGGGAGCATGCGCCCGATCCTGAAGAGGCCCCCCCAGCCAAGGCAAGGGCTAGTCCTGGGTCACAGGGAGCGAGGAGGGGCCGTGGTGAGCAGGGTGCCCCGTGGCCTCTGCAGAGTGTCAGGGCGGCCCGGGTCACCAGAGACAGAACAGGGATGACTTTACCCACAGACTTCAGTGCCAGTGGGGGCAGCGGCTGTTAGGGCCGGCAAGCATCCCTGAGCTTTACTCTCCCAGTGGGTAGAACCTCCCTGGACAGCAGTGGGCTGGACCAAAGGACCTTTGCCTAGGAGTGTCAGCTCTAGTGAGTCTTGTGGGTCCCCTCCCCCCACCATGGTGTTGTCCCCAGAGAGACAAGGACTGAAAAGCTCAGGGGACTTGGTGAGGGCCCCCTTTCACAGGAGGGCTCTGAGATGTTTGTAACTGTTTTGCTTTTTCCGGGGAGCAGCAAGCCCCCAAGAAAGCTACCCTTCCCGCCAGCCTTCTCTTCCCTCCACCGTCTCCCACTCCCAACAAATCACCACAGCAAACTCCCCAGGAAGGGGCTTTTATATATTAAAAAAGAAAGCTTTTATTGGGAGAAAATGAATTTATTTGTTTCTTAGCAATGGCATCATTGTGGGTAAGAACAAAAGGGGCACAGGAATGAAGTCCCTTTGCGGGGAGGCTCCAGCTGCCCAGAATCCCCTGTCCCTCCCCACTTTGGGCACTTGGGGGTGGGGGAGAGAGGCAGGGCGTGATTGATAAAGCTGAAGAACAACGAAAGGCACTGGTGGGTTAGATCCTGGGCCTGGGGGAGGGAGGATGTGGGCCGGGGGCTCTCTGGCAGTCAGGCCTGGCCACTAGTCTTTTCCCTTCCCTTTCTTGGCTGTAAAACAAGACAGAAACACCGAGTTAGAGTTCCTTCAGGTGACCCAGTCAAGATCCCTCTGCACATCAGGGGAGAGAAAATCCTGCCCCCTAGTGGTTCTCAACCAGCGGACGGGAACGCTGCTGGGATAGGGCAGCCATTATGCTGCGGGGCTTTCCCCGCCCCCCCCGCCCCGCCCCCGCATTAAACTTGCACAGGGGATCCGGTCGGTCATCCTCAAGTGTGGGCCCCAGTCCTGGCGACCCGGCACAAAACAGCCTTGCCTCCTCTGCCGGGAGCGGGCGGATCCCCTCTGCCCTGCTGGCGCCTCTGGCTGCTACGAGTCAGGAATGAGGTAGGGGACAGAGGACGTGCGAACACTGCCGTCCTTCCACACTGGAAGGGCAGAGCTGGCCAAATGCTCCGCGGGGCTGGACAGGTGACAGAGCCAAGCCCTTCCAGGGCTTTCCCGCGACCCTAAGCCAGATGCTCCAACAGAGCAGCGTGCTGGTCCTTACTGGGACCAGAAGGATTTACTGCCCTCTAAGCACCTTCTGTGGGTACATACCTACCTACACTGTCTCTACAGACAGGTGGTAAACTCTACAGAGACGCCAAAGAGTCCCTCACCAGGGCCCCAATACTCCGGCCCAACCATTCCCCCCTTAGGTCCCCCCACCCCCGCCACGACCCTGCCCCTTCTCCTGCTGACCTTTGGCCTTGGCTTTGGTCTTGGGGGTGCAGGGCTTGGTGACGCGGATGGTCTCCTGGCACTGGGCATTGTACCGCGCCTTCTTCAGGGTGCCTTGGCGGGCTTTGGTGCCAGAGCCCCCATCGCACGACCCCCAACTCTCGAACTTGTACTTGCAGTCGGCTGGCGGGAGAGCGCCCAGGGTCAGAGCGGGGCGGCCTCCGGGCGGCTTCCCCCCGCGGGTCGGCCCAGGTTCCAGTGCGGCTGTGCCCCCTCCCCTGCTCCCCGCCTGTGCCCTCCTCACCTCCAAACTCCTTCTTCCAGTTGCACGGCACCCTGCACCGGATGCGCTGAGTCTGGGCCCCGCAGGTACCTTCACGGAAACCCGCGCCACAGTCCTTGCTGCTGGGGGTGCAGGGTCCCCAGGTCCACTCCGCGCACTCGCCCCCCGGGCCGCCCTTTTTCACTTTGTCTAAAATGCACGGAGGACAGAGCTCAGGACCCGGGGCACCTAGGGACTCCCTCGGGGATCGCTTCCTGGGGTCCCGTCCTCGGAGCCCAGGCGGCCAGCCCCGAGGTCGCCAGCGTCCTCCTCCAACCCCCCCAACCTCCCATCACCTTTCTTTTTGGCCACCGCGGAGGCGAGTGCCAGCAGGGTGAGGAGGGCGAGGAGGAGGAAGCCTCGGTGCTGCATCCTGGGGGGAGAGCAAGGGTCAGGGCTCCCCGCCCATCCCCTTCCCCACCGAGGGAGCCGTTTGCATGCACCTCCCACCAGCTTTCCCATTTTCCAGGCCCAAAGGGTCGCGCAGCTCACGCGGCGCGGGAAAGCTCGAGGGGCCGAACTCCGTGCCGCCCGCCCGGGCGCACAGCCGGGGGCGGCTCCCGGGGGATGCTCGGAGCCCGGGGCGCAGCTCAGGCCCCACGCTGCCCCGGCCCCGGGCGGACGGCGGCCCTCCAGCGCCGCGCACTCACTCACTTGCTCCCCGCGCTGCTTCGCTCCCTCCCGCGCCGGCCCGTCCCGTCCCGCTCCGGCCGCTGCGGCCCCTTTTGTCTCCAGAACCGGTCTGAGCCGGTCACATGGGCCCCCGCCCCCCCAACCACCGAGGAAGGGCCCGCCCCGCCCCCTCCCCTTAAACCCGCGCCGCCCCCCGACCCCGGCGTCCCCGCCTCCGCTCCCGCCTCGCGTTCCTGGCGCCTCCACCCCGGCTTCCCGCCGCCGGTCCCCGTCCCTCGCCGCGCCCCACCGGTGCCGTCAGACCCCCGGTGCCTGGGGCTCCGGGCCCCTCACCTCCGGAGCCCAGGGTCTCGCGGCCCCAGGCCTCCGTCTTGCCTTGATACACCGGCCCCAGGCCCGGCTTTCCACCCTAGTGCTCTGCCCCCTCCCAGGGGCCGTCCCCGCTCCCCAAAGGACGCGAGCCTCCCTCCTTTGCGGCGGAGCCTTCGATGGGGACCGTAGGGACCGCGGAGTCCCGGTGTGTCACGCGGCCCGGAGCGGGGCCCGCGTTTCAGCCGAAGTGCGGCTCCGGCCCCCGTGCCCCCTGGGCCCCCGGGGCCTGCGCACCCCCAGCGCTCCCCGCCGTGCAGCTGGAAAGGCGCTTTCGCCCCCCCCCCCCCCCCCCGCCGTCGGACAGCTTCGCCAAGTGTGCGGGGAGGTGCTTTGCTTTGCTCAGTGTTGAGAGCCCGGGACGGGAACCCCAGGGAACGCCTGGGGGACCGGGGTGGGGGTGCTGCGGGTCTCCTGGAGCGCAGGTTTGCGGGGTGGAGAGTTGGAGGGGGAGGAACCCGCAGGCCTGCGTTTAGAAAGACGGGGAGCTGACAGGGGCCGTCTGAGAAGTTCCAGACCCGGCCTCGGCAGCGGCAGCACAAGCCTACCCTTTTGACCCTGGGAGCTTGGCGATCATTTCACTAGATCCACCTAAAGCACTGAGGCCTGGGGGAGGGGGCTTGCCCAAGGCCACAGGGCCAATGGGCCCCTGAATCCAGCCCTCCACCCAGCCCCACCTCTCTCTCACTTTCATTGTTAACGTCCCTGCGGGAAGCAGGAATCGGGAGGCACTCCGCGCTCAGCGGGTCCCCCACCCCCACCCCCGCCAACCGCTAGGCAGCCCGGCCGAGGTCAGGTCCCGGGCAGGCCCTGAGACTCCACCCCCTAATGAGAACCAGGACCCCCAGGAAAGTGTCTGGATCTGCGGCGCCCAGTGACCCCACTCTGAAGATACCCCAGCAGCCCCAGTTGCTTCTGTAAGACCTCTCCAAAAAACAAACGCAGAAAGGAAAAAAAAAATCCACTTTACTGAGTCACACCCAGCTGTAAACAAGTCACCGTGAGAGTCCCACCCCAACCCCCAGGCCACACAGTCCTTGACGAATGACTGGGGAGGGTCTCTGGGGTAGGCGCCAAGCAGGGCAGCAGGCAGGCAAATGCAGCAGGCTCCAGGTTTCTGGGAGGAAGCCCTGGAAAGGGTGGGGTCAGGGCAGCGCTGAGGACTGAACTCCGGGGAGCCTCGGAGCAGGGGCCCTGTAAGGACCAGGTGACTCAGGAAGGCTCCCTGATAGGGCTTCAAGCCCATCTGCCATCCCTCTCCGGCTCCTAAACTCCGGAGGGCGCCCGCTGAGGTGAGGGCCGCCCTGCAGCGGAGCAGCCCCAGTCCCCCAAAGGCCTGCCCAGTCCGGTCCAGTTTTCTGCTCCCCTGCGGGCCGGGCCTCCAGGTCAGGCCGGGGCTCAGGAACAGGTGAGATGCCCCAACGCCTGAGTCCAGCCCCCGGGTTTGGGTGGCTCCTCAGGGGGCAGCACGGGGCTCCTTCCCTGGAGTGCGGGTCCCCCCGTGGCTGTCCGAGTGGAATGTGGCAGTGAGGTGGGCTCGGGGCTCGGGCTCTAACCCAGTCCTGCCCCTCCTCAGCATTGGCCTCAGCTACACAGCTGTCTCCTGGTCCTCCCGCTGGATCATCTGGTAGTGCTGCCGGTTCTCCAGGTAGGCGGCCAGCTCCGTGTCCTGAGCCTTCTCTGCCCGCTGCCGCGGAGTGTCACCCTGGAGGGAGGAGCTGGGATCAGGCTGGGGAACACGCCAGGCACTCTTCCCTCTGGAGCTGAGGGAGGAGGGAAGGCCTTGCAGGCTGGCTGAGCCTGCCCTAGCCCTGCTGGCTCAGGTTTCTTTTCTTTCTTGATTTTGAGAGTACATGTGTTAAAGCTGGGGACAGTGAAACAAGGAAGGGCCTAGGATGGAAGCAGCAACAGGAGACAGCCTGGCCGGTCTGCTCGGCTCTCCAGAAATGTTACAGGACAGGTGTGAGCCAGGGAGGGGCTGCTTGCAGCTCGCTGGGAAGTCAGAGAAAAGGGGGCCTTGGAGATAAGGTGGGGGTCGGTGGGCGGGGTGAGCCCAGAGGAGCTGCCGCTGCCCGCTGCTCCCCTGGTTGCGGGCCTCACGGAGGGTCCCTTGGAGTTTAGTAGGTGCACACCTGCGGGGGAAGAACAGGGGCAGGGAAAGGTGTGCTCCCGGGAGGGAGAGCAGGGAGAGCGGAGTGCGCACTGGCTTGGGTTTTGAAAGGCTGAGGAATAGTTTCAACTCCCCAGAGGCGGCGCTCTCCTGAGGCTCCCCTCACAAGGGCTTAGGCCTGGGGGGGCATCGGTTGTGCCTGCGTGGACTCCCTGCCCGCCCCTCTAGGCTGCTCACCTGCTGGTCCGTCTTCATGAGCGAGGCTCCTGCCTCCACGATGTAGTGGCAGATGGTGCGCTGGCCCAGGGCTGCGGCCTGGTGCAGACAGGTCTCCCCGCTGGGGGAACAGGGGCTTGCTGTGGACCCTATCCAGCTCTCCCATGTGTCTCCCAAGGGCCATCAGAAAGGGCAGGAAGAATGGGGCCCTGGCCTGGGGCACGGCAGGTGGCCCAGGGGATGACAGATGTGGCCAGGAAGGGTTCATGGGCTCCCACCAGACAGGAGGGGCTTGAGGAAGATGGGCAATTTCCAGGGTAACCAGGGGCCAGCGCTGCCAGATACTCACTTTTCCTCTACAGCATCAAGGATCTCTTGGGGTGCTGCAGGAGAGGGGAGGGGCGGGTCAGAGAGGCCGGGCCGCCTCCCCCGCTTCCGCCTTCGCCCAGCCCGGGCCCCAGTGGCACAGCTTACCGTGGTCCAGCAGGTAGCGGACCACTTCCTTGCTGCCAGTGCTGACCGCGTGGTGCAGGAGCGTGCGGCTCTGGTTGTCCCGGTGCATGAGGTCGCCCCCAGCGCGGTGCAGCTCCTGGAGCTGAGGGCAGGAGCAGGGCTGGGCTCCTCTGGCCGCCCTTTCTACCCCCAGGGACGTCCCCCAACTCACAGGCCACAGGCCCGACACTGGCGTGCTCACACCTGTCAATCCCCGGGGGCTGCTCGGGTCTTTGGGGACCGTCAGGGGAGAGACAATGGGCTTGTCCCAGCCTGCATGCCCACAGGCTCCCTAGGAGGACTGGCGACCAGGCCCTGGAGCCTGTGGCTCTTCTGAGACTCACTCCCGAGCTCCAGGGACAGGCACATTGAGCTAGGAAACCCGGATGAAGGGACCCGGATTGTGGGCTGGACAGGGCAAGGTGGAATGGGACAATCAAGGAAACCCTGCTGAGGGCAAGATGAAGACAGGTGGCTGCACCTGAACAGGCCGGCTCCGGAGGCCTGAGGGGGTGGGAGCTGTAGCCAGGGAGCTAGTACCTTACAGAAGTCATTCCTCTTGGCAGCCTCCACCAGCTCTTCACCTGCCGGAACACCTGCCCGTTACACTCCAGGGCCGGAGGCCCGGGCTTGGGTCGGTGTGTGAACACATAGGTGATGTGCAGAGGAGGGGGCTGCGGGGCATGTGTGCTGAGGGCTGGGTTTGTGGTGAGCGTAACCACGGGGACCTCAAGGGTTAGGTCTGTGCAAGGCAGAGCACAGCCCGCCTCCCCACCCTCACTCCTGTGACCAGGGAGAAGCCTCACCTTTAGGGGGCAGAGCGTCCCCTGGCAGTGACCTACAAATAGAGCGGGATGAGATGTGACATGGCTACAGCACAGGCCAGCCGGTCACCCTCCCAGCCCCAAGCAGGGGCACCCCTCATTCTTTCAACGGTTTATTGAGTGCCTCCCATACACCAGGTGCTGCCCTAGGCACTGGAGATACGCGGGGAACATGGCGGGTGGAGAGCTGGCTCTCAGGGAGCTCACATTCTAGCCGGGGCCACAAACAAGTAAACAAATAAATAAAGTGTTTTGAGAACAGGAAGTGCTATGAAGAATACGAGATGGGGCAGTGTAGCTGAACAGCAGCATCAGATGGGGTTCCCCAGGAGAATTCTCTAGGGTGGAAACCGCCAAGTGGAGGCGTGAAAGGGGGCAGCTCTGCGAAGCATGGGGGTGTGAAGAATGAGGCCACAAGGACAAGTGTGGAACAGGCAAACGTGAGGCCTCAAAGAACCGAGGGCGAGTGGGGCTGGGCTGTGGTGCTGGAGGGCGGGCAGGCTCAGGCTGTGTACGCTGATGTGACCTGCGGCGACTGCAGGGCGCAGGCAGAGGTCCCAGGCTGGGGAGCACGGGGTTGGAGGCCGGCGCCACAGCCTGGGTGCGCTGCGCGCAGGTCGGGGGTTGCGGGGGGGCCGGGGGGGAGCTGACAGGACTTGCTGGGGGTCGGGCTTGGGTGGGAGGAGCTGGTGGGGACCAGAGGCAGGAGGCTGGAGTATGAGGCTGGGGCTTGGGAAGTGGCTGTGGCTGTGGCTGAAGGCAGGGCTTCAGGAGCTGCTGCCTCACAGGTGGGACCTAAGGTCTGGGGGACAGGAGGAGCCCTGGGACTCACCGGGGTGTGGGTGAGCAGGGGGAGGTGGGCAGAGGAGAAGTGGGGGTTGGGAGGTCAGGCCGGGCCGATGCCCCCAGCAGCTCTGGGTCCAGAATGTAGATCTCGTCCTGTGCGATCTCAGTCACGTAGTTGAGGTGCTCCTGTGGGGAGGGAGGCCAGGGTGGGGGGGTCAGGGCGGCCTGTCGTGGGGACCAGAGCGCCAGCAGGCTCGGAGAAGCCCCTGCTGTGGGTGTGAACACCGAGGAGAGGCAGCCAGGCAAGCGACCCTGCCGGCCCCTCGCCCTCCGTCCACCGGAGCCCTGTGTCCTGGGCCCACCAACACGCCAGCCCCTTCCCACTGATAAACTTTGACCCAGGCAACTCTGCCCCTGGCCAGAAGTGCTTTTTCTTCTGTCTTTCTGGATGGCACCTGTGCCAGGAGGCCCCGTCCCCACCCCTGGCCAAGAGCAAGCCTTCGCTGGGTGCCCCGGCCCTGTCCCTGGGACGCCATCCGGTGCTCTCCAGCCGGGAGGGCAGGGCGCGCCTATCCCTGGATGTGCTTGACGGGGATGCCCTATGGAATGTGAGAGCGGGGGCGCCCGTCTGTGGAGGTGATGCTGGGCGTCATGGCACAGCTGTGCGTGGAGCAGGACCGTGAGTGCTCACCTGGGCGCGGTCAATCCTGTAAAAGCGGCTGGCAGTGGTGGCTGTGGGGGAGACACTGAGTTGGCTGAGGATACAGGAGACCCTTGCCCAGGCCCAGGTCTTCTGTTTCCCCAACCCAGGGCTCCCCAGGGAGGAGGCTGGACATGGCTTGGGACTGCCAGGAGCTGGCCCTTCAGGGCCACTCACCGTCCAGGAAGCACCACTTGGGGGACAGCTTCTGGCATGTTGGGGACTGGGCTCCAGCACCTTCGGGCTCCTGCTGAGAGAATTGAAGGCCAGGGCTGGGTGAGACCAGAACCTGGAGCGGAACCTGGAGTGGGAAGAGACAGCAGGCCCTGACTCCGCCCCTCACCTGCTGCAGCCTCTCGATGTGGGCACGACAGAGCTCTAGGTCGCTGTCTCCTGGGACCACCACAGTGCCCAATGGCACGGCTGGAGGACAGAGCAGGCGGTCAGCGGCTGGCTACATCCCCATGCCCTGCCTCTCCAGGGCACTGAGTGGCTCTGCCGCTCACCCCTGCCCCTCAAAGCCCCGCGTGCTGCTCACAGGCCTCCTTGAGCTGCTCCTTATCGTAATGCAGGGCCTCGTAGTCGTGCATGCTGACCCTGCTCACCTGGATCCGCAGTTGCTCGGGCACCGGCTGCTGGCTGAGAGCAGGGGCAACAGGAAGGGACTCGGCAAGGGCCCAGGAACCTCCCCAAGTGTACCCCCCCAAATGACCTGGGGCAGAGGGACTGTTGGCCCCTTTCCAGTTGGGGAAGCCAAGGCCCAGAGGGGCAGCGTCTGGCTGTGGGCCCAGAGCCCAGGGCGGCGGGGAGGAAGCATACTCGCTGTGCAGCGGGGTGGCGCTGCGCCGCTTGGCCTTCTGCACCATGGTGGCCTGGTTGCGCAGGGCGATGCGGATGCGTGAGGCGGCCAGCTTGCAGGGCTCGCCGTCCACCTGCACGGGGATGGCCTTGGACGTGGTGAGCACCACCTCGCGGCACTGTGTCAGCCGCTCGCCATGGCCACCCACCTGCAGCGCTGCCTGTTGACCCAGAGGGCTCAGGTCAGGGGCTGGGGCGGGAAAGGGGGCAGTGGCGGGGGGTGCCCAAGTCTGCTCCTGCCAGGGAGGCTCTGGGAGAACACAGAGTGATCCCAATGGACAGGGGAAGGAGAGTCCCCAGACGGGGTTGGTGGAAGTGTCCCCACAGAGAGGTTGAAAGATACTTTAAAGTCAGAGAGAGAAGGAGACAGTGAACCCCCAGCCAGAGAAGGGAGGTTTGGTGACGCCCCCCCCCACTTTGGGGCTGTGCTTCTGGACACTACAGGGCCAGGGCCAGGGCCAGGCAGAGCTGGGCCAGGCCTCCAGGCAGGCCCCGTCCTGGCCCACTCACCAGGGACGTCATGGTGAAGCCGATGACCTCGAGGTAGCCGTCATCGTGCCGCTGGGGCTCGAAGTCGTGGTGCTCGCCGGGGTGGCCCCAGGGCATGGTGCCTGCACAGTACCTGGGGGGAGGGCCGCAGGACGTGCTTCAGAGGGTGCCCTGCGGGGAGCGGGCATGGGACGCGCAGAGCCCCACCTCCTCACCTGGGGATGTTCAGGAAAACAATGCACTGGGGCTTCAGGTCCTGGATCTTGGGGGTCAGATCCGTTCCATCACACTGGAGGCAGGAATGGGGAGGGTGTTGGGGGCGCACGTGTGGTGCCAAGGCAGCCCCCGCCCCCAGCAGGGCCTGCCTGCTCTGCCTGCAACTCGGCCTGCTCACCACCACTCGGATGTGCTTGGCCAAGTCCTTGGAGCTGCCCATCAGGAAGTCGGAGAAGGCTGTCTGTGGGAGACAGAGGTGTCATTATCTGGTGACAGGGACCTTCCCTCACCACTGCCTGGAAGGGTCCTGGCCTGGTAAACACAGGGGGGTAGGGGGCATGGGAAGAGGGGTGTGGCTGGGCTGGCAGATCCCAGACTCACCCCGGCATAGAACATCTTGTTCCGAAAGCGGCTGTTGAATTTCTCTGGGTTGGCCTCTGGGTGGCGACAGAAAAAGGGCAGTCATTCCAAGCCTCCTGGGGCTTCCCAGGCTGGGGTGAGAGGGCAGGCTGGGAACGGGTGCCTTTTCCTGGTGGGGGCTAAGGGCTGACCCTCTTGGGGACACTCCTAGGTCCTTTCCTCCCCAGCCTCCCAGGGCCTGCCCAGCAGGAGACTGCCAACCTCGAGACTCATGAAACTCCAGGGTGACGTGGGCATCAAAGCCCAGGCTGAAGTAGTTGTTGAAGACGTCCAGAGGCAGCTGGAACAAGGTCAAGGGAGCAGCATGAAAGATGGGCCTCAGAGATGCCTCCCTGCTCTAGCCCCGGGCTCAGCCACAGGCCACGGGCACCATGCCACGCTTTCAGAGGCCTTTCCTACAGCTCCAAAAAAAAAGCACTTCCAGAAAGCTCTTCCCAGCCACCTGCCTGCCTCAGGCTCTGCCCCCTCGGGCCCCCCTAAGTGCCCTGTATGCAAGAGCACCCCCAGCCTGCGGCATTCTCCTCCCCAACGGGCATACTCTGCAGGAGCTCCATGAGCAGGACTTGGTCTCTGTGTTCACTGCTTAGATCAGGGCCTGGCAGATAGCAGGCACTCAGTAGATATTTGCCAAGTGGCTGAATAACAACAATCTTGCAAGGTGAGTACCATCATTCTCATTGTCTAGATTAAGAAGCTTAAGAAGCTGAAGTCTGGAGAAATGAAGAAATTCACTCAAGGTCCCAGAACAAGCAAGTGGGAAAGTGGGGCCCAGCCTAAGTGTCCTGGGAATTCCAGACCCCGAGGTGCGGAGAGGCCCCCGTGATTTCTACTGCCTCAGCCCCGGGTGACCCACCCGGTCGGTGGCACCCTCATCACGTTCCTCGGGCCCCGCCTCAGGGTTGGGCTCTGCACGGAGGTCCCAGCGGTCCAGCTGCACCACGTTCCCCTCCTCCACGTGGGAGAGGATCTTGGACACAGGCTCATCTGTGTAGCCCTGGCGGAAGGAAGCAGAAACTGAGCCCTTCCTGGAGATAGGCCTCCCCACCACACAGCCCACCCCAGCGACCCCACCTCCCGTGGGTTCTCACCCCGCCCCAGTTGAGGGTGCGAGCCAAGTCGTTGCCAGTGCCCAGGGGCAGGATGGCAACAGGCGGTGGCGGTTTTAAGCGCAGCTGGTCCAGGGTGGAGAGGATCCAGCCGACCTGGAGTGGGCAGAGCAGAGAGGCCAGGTCAGGCTGGCCGGGCCCGGGCCCAGCCCCAGGCCCAGGAGAGGCAGAACTCACCGTGCCATCGCCCCCGCACGCCAGGATCCGCAGGTTGTGCACTTTGCGGTACATCTCCAGCCTGGGGTCAGGAGACGGGAACGGGTCAGGCTATGTGGACAGGACCTGCAGCTCCAGGCCGGGCCCCGAGCACCAGGCCAGCCCCTGCCACTGTCCCCACAGAGCCTTCGCCAGTACTTACGCTTCCTTGGGCCCTCCCTGGCTGAGGTCAAAGACTTGTCGGGGATTGAGATACCAGAGGAAGGACTGGATGATTTTTGCACCCTGTGGGGGACCAGGAGTGAAGAGGGTCAGGGGTGGCGGGCTGAGACAGGGACAGGGACAAGGCTGTGGGAATCAGGCTCAATGAGAGGCGAGGGGTGAAGACAGGATTAGATTTTCCTCAGGATCCCCGGGAAGGAGAGATGGGGCAGAAACCTGTGGGTTCCGGGGTGAAGAGGGGCCAGAACCTTGACATCACGCCTCCCCACAGGCTCTCTGTGAAGCAAGGAGGCTGTGCGTACCTGGTTGCCCCCACTCTTGGGGTTCACAAACACCAGCAGGGGCTTCATGAGGGGCGACGGGGTGGGCCTGATGATGAAGGGTCTCCAGCGGCCCTCCTTGGAGACAGAGAGCGCCTGTAAGGCTCCTTCCCACCCTGGAGGGCCCTACCCCATGCTCAGCAGTGCCCCTCCTGGGCGCCCCTCACGTGCCACCTCTGTGTCAGACCTTATGGCGTGCCTGGCCATAGAGAGGCAATTTGGATCTGACCTTCCACCCTCTTCAGGGCCCTAGAGCCAAAACTGACCCACCAAGGTCTGAGCCAATGGCATCAGCCCAGGGGCTTGTCCAAGAAGCCCTGTGTCCTGGGCCCTCTCTCCTGTCCCCTTCAGCTGCCTGCCTGGCCCCAGGTCTAACCTCGGGGCCTTTCTTGCTGGATTTCCTCTTGAAGGATGCTCTCTTTTTCTTCTTGCTTGCCTTGAGGGTGTTCTGCAAGGGAAGCAGAGGCATTGGTGACAAGGTGAGCAGGCTGGGGTGGCTGGCAGACCCCACATGTGTGAGGGGTATCTAGGGTGCAAGCAGGACTCACCTGGGGCCTGCGGGCACGGAGGATCCAGGTGGGCGGGATGACCACGGCCGCGTGGGCCCCCAGGGAACACGGCTCCTCGATCTGCTGCAGCATGAAGCAGGACACCTTGCTGTGGTACTAGGGGGGAGGGGGCAGAGCTGAGCTGTGCTGAGCTGAGCCCTGGGACCCCACCCAGCGCCGCAGAGGGACAGCCTGTGGGGGCAGGGTGGGTGCCACTCACTGCTTGCTTGCACCAGGAGCAACTGATGGCCACGATCTCCTTGCTGTGGAAGGTGAACTTCTGCTGGAAGCCCTAGGGCGGACAGGGTAGTTGGGGCACCAGGGGCCAGGCCCCGAGCGGCAGACACAGCCCCTCTTCTGTCGTCACCCTCTCTCCATATGGGAAGATTGAGCACATTTTTAAAGATTAAGAAAACTATAAAATAAGCCCTTAAGGCAAGGAGGTTCAGCCAGGGGCCTGTGCCTCTGAAGCTAACTGCAGAGTGGTGGGTGTGCACACGAGCCCTGCCGGAGGGGCCGCAGCCAACTCCTGCCCCCTCAGCGGCCCTCCTTCCCAACCACAGCCCCAGCAAGGCCCCCTGGTCATTCCCTTGTGCACGCCACGTTTATTGAAGGCCCGCTACATGCCAGACACAGTGCTGGGCAGAGTCAATGGAGGAAAGGGGGAATTCAGAACCTATGTTCACAGAGGGAGACAGACAAGTAAACAATGAACAATTGAACAAAATTGTGCGGATGGCGCTTGGGAAGGCTACCTGCAGTGTGTCGTCCAGCTACACCCTCCTCCACGAGAGCAGACACCCACCGCCCAGCTCAGCGCTCCATACCCAAAAGGCACTCAACAAACACCTGAACTAAAGACTCAGTCCCCAGGGTTCTCAGAGGGCTCAGTCATGACCAAGGCAGTCCAAAGACCCTGCACTAGAAGAAACGCTCCCTCCCTGCTCAGCCCAGAGACTAGGGGCCTTTGGCACTGGCTGCGCACTGCGACCTGGCTAAGAGTGAGCTCTGGGACTCTGTACTACAGGGACACGGTGATGGGCGGTCCACACAGTATACACGGAGCGCGGCTCGGGGGCCGCAGAGCCCAGGTCCAATGAGTAGCAGGCCAGCTGACGCCCAGGGGCAGAGCCTCTCACCTTCCCACAGTGCCGACACTTGCCATCCTGGCGTCGCCTGTGCACCCAGTGGTGCCGCACAAAGGTTGGCTGGCGGAGGAGGAGAGAAGTGTCACTGGAGTGAGCGAGCGGTGGAAGGAACAAACCCTGAGCATGGCCTGCACCCCTCAATATATCAATGATGAGGAACGGGGGCTGCCAGAAGCTGTGCATGAGGTGAAGGACCTGGAAACGTCTCTCTGTGGCCCAGGGCAGGACTGAGGCTCAGGAGGGACAGAGGCACATGGAAGCACACGGTACCCCACCCCCCACCCCCTCTGAAGGCAGGGCCAGCCAGTCCTCATCCCTTGCACCGCCCTGGGTCCCGGAACAGCCTAGAGAGAGCTGAGCCCTCTGCTCTCAGAAGACACTCAGAGATGTCCACTCAGGAGACTTGGGATCTCCTTGCCCCTAAACTATCATAGGCACTTACCTCACGGACATTCCTGGACCCTGATTCACGGAAGGACGGCTTACAGCGAAAATTTATCTGTGAAAGATTAGTGACCATGAAACTGTCAGACCCTCCCTTCAGGGTCCGCATGTGGCCGCCCCCTGCAGGAGGGGGCCTCTTGGAGTCATCCTCACAAGGCAGGAATAGCTCCAAATCACTCAGGGAGCCTCGGGACGTGGGGCACCTCTTAGAGACCCTCCTGCATCCTGCCTCCGCTCCCCCAGTCTCCCCTGCGGGAGTGGCACCGCGGCTGCCTCCGAGATTCTCCCTTGGCCTCCCGCGCTCCCAGCCGGGGTGCCCGCGGGCACCGCAGTGCTTGCCTTCACAGTGTGTTGACTGGCCCCTGGAGACTTTTAGCCGGTCTGTGGAACCCTGGTTTGACTTTCACTGTTAGGGGTGGTGAAGGCTCTATAATGCTTGTGGCTGCTTTTGTTCCTCTTTTCCTAAGTGTCCCTGCTTCACCCTTAGCTAAGTCGTGGAGAAGCTTCATTCTACAAATCATTTGTTCATTCCTAATCCTACCGGCTTTCCCGTGGGCTGGTCAGGGCTTCTGCCCGGGGCACCCGGACGGTTATGGCAGCCCCTACCTTCTGCCTGGATCCTCCCGCGCGGCATTCCCGTGCCTCCTTGGAGAAGCGCGGGCCCAGCCAAGCCCCCAGCTGCAGACACACTGCACTGTGGACGGCAGGCTTTGGGGAAAGGTCTCTACAGCGACATTGTGTGGGGCAGACTCAGGTTTTGAGACTGAGCCTGCTGCGGCAGAGTTATGCAGCTTCAGCAAGGCAATGGCCCCCTCTAAGTGCTGGGTTGGGTACGGATCAAGTGGTGCCATGGCCATTGTTTATTAACTCCTGTTAAGTAAGAGTCAATGTGCCCCGCTCTGGGCAGTGGGGATATGGCAGATAATAAAGTGGGGAAGCCGGGATTCAAATGTGGGCATTTTGGCTCGCTGGCGCTTGGCCCTTCACCACTACCCACACCGGGCACCCCTGGCAGGCAGTGCTCATATGTTGTGTGCACACACACGTGTGTGCTCTGGCAGGGCTTTCACACCCAAAGGGGATGGGGGGGAGGCTGAGCAAGCCCACTCACCTTCTCCAGCTGTTCGATGCAGGGGGTGTGCACCACGATCTTGCAGGCTGCACACTTTCTCCGGGGCACTGATTTCTGCTGTAGCAAAGAGAGGGCCCCTGAGGCACCAGGTAACTCCACCTGGGATGCCACTCCAAGGGCAGGCAGAGAAATCCTCGCGTCTACCCCAGCACATCTGCCCTGTGTGCTCCAGGAACCCCCACCCTTGACTCTTGGCATCGGGACACGGCTCCCGTTCCTCTCGCCATCCTCAGACAGTCCACAGCAAGGGCACTCAGGTAGGAGCCCTGTTCCCACCTTCCACTGGAAGGGGCTGCAGCGGTCAAGTCAGCAGGGGTTGGCCTATAGGCTTCTGGATCTGGCTCCACCACCAGGGGGCAGCATGCTGCACACAGCTCACTCACCAGCATCTTAGCTACACAGTACTGCTCCCCAACATAGCAGAAGTCCCCAGAAACATTGGTCTCGAACCAGATGTGCTCCCCATATGTCGCCGACTCCTAGACCGTGGGATAAGCATACTCAGTGCACACCTCAGTGCAGCATACTGTCACCCAACTCACCAATCAGCCCCTGCCCTGGCCCACCAACCCTCTCACCCAAGAGAAACCTGCTCCAGCCTTGATCCACTTTGCTCCATCCTCTTTTCCCCACTGTCCCTGCTCTCAAGGACTTGGCCCAAACATGGCCCCCCCAGGAGGTGTGCTCTGACCCCACAGGCCCAGTGGCACCTCTCGCGGCTGCGCCTAGTACCTCCACTCCCAACTGCTCTTGTGGCCCAGAGCCCCGTGGGGACTGGCTCCCATCTGCCCCCCCCTGCCCGGCACCCAGCCACTCACACTCCAGTCCACAGTGCTCCGGATCTGCCGCTCTGGCTCGCCGCATAGGGCCCCGTGAGCAGGCGGCGGGGGTGCCAGGTGCTGGAGGCCTGACTTGGTGATGGCTTTCCTATAGAAAAGGAGACAGCTGAGGCCAGCAGAGCACTTGGCCTCTCTGCTTTTTTCCCTCCCCCACCTGGGACCTCTGCCCTCACTGTGACCTCAACCCAAGGCCAAGTCAGGGACAGCAATAGGGAGAGTCGGGGACAACACCGCCCCCGCCCCAGTCCCAGTCCCAGCAGCCTGACTCTGAGAGGATCCTTGGATTCCCTCAGGAGACTCAGCCTTCCTCGCAGCGCTCCTGAGGCGCGCTGTTCCAAAGCAGGTTACCCTCCGGCCAGGCAGAGCCCTGAGGCCCTCGCTCCACGCCGGCCCCCTCGGAAGCCGCACCACTTGCCCTGCTGGCCACAGCTATACCTACGCAAGCAGGGCGCTCCAGGCCTGGGGTCCGGCCGACTTGCGCCGTAGGGCTACCTGGCGCCTGCGGGAGAGTGGGCACACACGGGCGGGCAGCACGGGGCTGGCTGTGGTGCCTGAGGCTCTTCGGCCCCCAGGGCCAAGGTGCTGGCCTGAGGGTCGCTGCTGGCTGAGGCGACGATAGTAACCATGCAGGCCCCAGAGGGCGCGGTCGTATACCGCGTCAGCAGGGAGCAGGTGGGAGGAGGCCTGGCGCCCACGTAGGCAACAGGGCACTGGCAGCAGGGTCCGGGCACCCTGGTGTCTGAGTGGCCCTGGTGTTTTGGTGCCTTGCTGGGTGGTACTCAATGCTCCAACTGTCACATCCTCCTCCTGGACTCCCTCCTCCTCCTCCTCCTCCTCCTCCTCACTCATGCCCACAAGCCCAGCCAGCAGCAGGGGTGCACCCAGAAGCTGAGCCCCAACAGTGGCAGGCGGGGGAGTGGGCACCTCACCCACAATGAAGCGGGGGTTGCGGGCGGGGGGTGCGGTGCTGGAGCGGCGGCGGCAGCTGGTGCCCCGGGCCTGCATCCTGCAGCCCAGGAGGCAGCCCTGGAGCTGTGCACTGGAGCGGCGCCGCTGCGCCAGCGAGGAGGAGGCCTGCCCAGCAGGGGACCGGCGCCGGGCCTTGCCCGTTGGCAGCCCCACACCACTGGACCTCCGCTGCCCCTCTCCAAGGCCTGGCGCCATCCGCTGGAGGTGTCTCCTAAAAAAGGTCTCCATGCAGGGGCAGGTGGGTGCCTGTTGGGCACAGAGACCAGGAACATCAGGAGCTGGGCTGAGCCATGGCCCATCCTGTGCCCAGGAGCCCAGCCATAGCCTCTACCCTTTGAGCTGAGAGGAGACACTTGGGGGAGGGGCGGTTGGCCTCTTGTCTCAGTAAATAGGGTGCTTGAGGGACCAGAGAATCCTCAGTGGAGCCCACATTTCCCACCATTGGGGGCACTGTGCTCTTCGCAGTTATACCTCTGGGCTGCCCCAGGAGTAACGGGTAGGAGGGGGTTTCCAGCTACCCAACCTGGCACCCCCGGTCCGGGCACCATAATCCACAAAGTTCTGGCCTAAAGGACTTCGACTCTTGCCTGAAGCTGACAGAAAAGAGAAGAGAACTGAAGTCTGGAGTTCTGGGTTCCAGTTTGGAGTTGGCCCAGACAGACTGAGGGGCAGGGGGCGGGCTTTCCTTCTCATCAGGTCTTCGTTTTGCCATAAACAAGGAGTGAGTTAGGTTTAGGTTCCCCCCACCCAGGACATGGCACACACCAGGCATGACAATAAAACAAGGCTCTCTGCAAAGAAACTCGGTCCTGGTAAGATGCCCTGACTCTCCACCCCAGTCTCGGTGTCGGGCTGCAAGTGGCGTTTACAAATGGAGCAGGTATGACCTCTGCCTCAGGGATCACAGCACCCTGGGCGCATGAGGCCCTCAGAGGACTGGAGAGGCGGCTGCAGGGAGGGACCCACCCCAGTCTTCAACCAGGAGGCCTTCGTATTGGGACGCCAAGAGAAAAGCTGTCTGGATTCTGGCTTTGAGTGTATGTCTATCTTTGAGGGGCTGACGGTAAGGACTTTTCTGGAACTAGGCTGCTCTGTCTCACTCGGAGGCACAGTTCGGACCTCCCCTGTGTGAAGGTACTGGGTGATGTCTGAAAACCCATCCAGCTCTGCTAGAGGGTGCCTGTGAACTGCACCTTATCCTAGGCCACTGCTAGGAGCCCCAACTCACAACACCAAACACTGAGCTGCCCTGAGCCACGTTCAAGGAGGCAGGACCCTTGGCGACCATCCTTGCTGAAACCATCCGCCCCTAACCTACCCTGAACACGTGCTCTGCTTCCTTTGCCAGCTCACCTGTTCCTGCCACCCCTTCTTCACGACACTTCTCTCCCCCTAACAGCGGGGGAATAGCAGGAGGCCATAGCTAGCAAGAGGCCTCCAGAGTGCCCAGGGATGCTTGTGTCTCTCCATCAGGCACTCTCCCGGGCCCTGACGGCCACAGGGAGGTCTGAGTCACGGCCATGAGACGTCTGCCTGGGACTGGCAGACGTCAGACGCAGAGGGTGAGAGGCCTGGGCAAACGGCGGAAAATGATGGGCCCGAGGAGTCAGGCCTGGCCACACATCTAGCACCTGCTCCTCCCGCCCACCTACCCACCCACTCACTCTTTGATTTGCTACTGTGTCAGGACAGGCAGAGTCAGGCCGAGCCCTGAATGGGTACAAGGGTACTGAAGGGGAGGGGGACTGGGGCCGAAGTGTCTGAGCTCCTGTGATCAGAGAGCAGTGCTGGCAGCCATGCCTGGGCAAGCGGCGTTTGAGACTCTCAGCTCTAGCTCTCTGCCCCGTATAGGTGCCAGCCCCTGCAGGTGACAGGGAACAGGCAGGAGGTGAGCTCTGCGGGGAGAGAGCTCTTGGCTGCCTCCTAAAATCGATACCATCCCGGTTAACATCTACTGAGTGTCCACATGTGTCAGGCGCTGTGTTGAGCACTTGATCAGCACATATATCATTTTATAAACCACAGCAACCCTAAAGAATAGGTAGGTACTGTGTCATGTCACGTTCCTGATGGGAAACGGAGGCTCAAAGAAGTAACCTGTCCAAGGTCCACAGCTAGTCAGCGTACAGCCAGTGTCGGAACTCAAGTCTGCCTGAAGGTATAAAGCCTGCGCCCCAGAGATGCAGTGGAAGGAGGGTCTCTCCTCTTGGGCCATGAGACTGGGGCTAAGGTGGAATGGGATAGGGAAGGGGCCATAAGGACCACAATAGCCCCACTTCTTGAACACCTACTATGCGACAGGCCCTGGGCTAAGCACTTGCATTCACCATCTCCTCGGACCCCTGCCACAAGTCTGTGAGGCAGGCAGGGCCGACGGCTCCATTACAATGGCAGTAACGCGCCCTGGGTCACACAGCGGCCAGTGGCAGAGAGGGGTCTGGCCCATCTGCCTGACTCAGGTCTGCTCCGCGCAGGGGAAGAGGGCCTTGAAGGCCCAGCAACCGGCCGCTGCCAGGGCGCTGGCCTGCCAGCGCCCCCCCAGGGTGTCGGCTTTCCTTACTTGTCTGGTCAGGCTGCCCTGTGACAGCTGCACGGCCTGCAGATTAGTCACCCGGACACACCGCCTGATGCTAATGTCACCCAGAAAACAAAAGGCCACAGTCAGTGGGGGTGGGGGAGGTGCTGCAGGCGCTCTGTGGGCAGTGGTGACGGCTGGGCCCTGCTGCTGCCCCAGGCTCACACCGACAAGAGGGGCCCGGAGGAAGAGGTCACTTGCACACGCCTGCTCACGACGCACAGCACGGGGTGGCTTCCGCAGTGCTCTGGCCCACAGGCTGCCGGGCAGCCCAAGTCCACATCTGTCCAGGAGTCTCCTCAGCTATCTGATGGTGCAGTCACTCAGAGTGGGGAGCAAGGCGGGCCAGGCCAGGGCCGTGTGACTACACGCAAAGCTGTCCCTTCACAGACCCCAGTTTCTCTATTTGTCCAAGGAGGCAGTTAGACTGGCTAATTTGACATTTTATGACAAGCTCTCCTGCCAGGCACCCAAGTTTCTGTGTCCCCAAAGCCCCCTTCCCTGCCCCCCCCACCCCTCGCCAGGGGCCAAGCTTCCTGTTCCTCTGGTCTCCATAGAAACCTCTGTCCTCTGGTCAGCAACCGCCTGACTCCTGACTTCCTAACTCTGCTGAGGCCTCCCTTGGGTCTGCTCAGAAGCCCAGCCTGGCCTTGGGCCTGGCCCAGCTGTGCCCTCGCCTGGCCCAGCAGCCTGTTCCCACAGCACGGCTCTGGGCTGAAGCTGCTTCTCACCTCATGCTGTCACCTTCCGCACACCGAAGGGGCCCCACAGGGTTCTGACACCAACAGCAGAGGCCGCTTCTCAGCCTCCCGGTGGGGGACCTGGGGGCAGCCTGTCACACCCCGAGGAGACAGGGTGGGAAAGACTCATGGGCCCTCTCCATCTCCAGCTGGCTCTGGGGGGCCTGAGAAGGGCCCAGGCCCCCGCAGAAGGGACATGCATGGTGCGGTCTGGCCCTGCGCCCGACTGCTGCGGCCAGCAGGGAGCGAGTGGACAGGATCCTCAGCCTCCCAGCACAGGCTATCTCACTCTCCGTGTCAGCTTCAAGTGGAAAAGCCCGAAGGCTTGGGAATCCTGTAGTTGCCACTGCTTTCCTGGGCTCAGCAACTAACCTTCTGAGTCTCAGTGTTCTCATCTGCAAAATGGGACGATACCACCGAGTTCAGAGGGCTGATATAAGGGACGTTCTGACGAGATGGTGGTATAAAGCACCTGATGATACAATACCTGGCAGAGAGCAGGGGCACGGCAGGGCCAACACCCACAGCAGGCGCCAGGAATGTGGATCATGCCACCTCCTGGGGTTTGTCTCTGCCCGTGGTGGGGGTGGGAACCCAGAAAGGGAAGCAGGAGTACCCAGGATGACCACCAGCCACCATATGAGGAACAGAGCCCGACAGTCAGAGCCACCTGGGTGTCTGCTCAGGCTACGAGGAATGTCTGCTGCCCCAGTACCAGGCCTGGCCCCTGGGACTCCTCTGCCTCCTGAAGTGCTTGCACACACACCCCCACCCCCACCCCGTGGGATTCAGGCAGAGTGCCCGCTCCATGCGGCGGGCAGGACCCTGCTCCCAGCAGCCCTCTTTGGCCGCTCTGCTCCCAAGTGGGAATAGCTAGAAGGGAGGCCTGTCTGAGGGCTGGGGAGGTAGGGTCCCAACTTCCCCACTTCTACTTGCTAAGGAGATCCTGCCAAAAACAAAATAAAATAAAACAAAACAAAAGTGCACAGCGGGGAGCAGGTGGGCCTGCGAGGTAAAGGAGGCAACCAGGTTGGTAATGCTCCCCTCTGCAGGGCCTGCCCTGGCACGGGCAGGCATTCCCTCCCGCTCCGCGCCCCCTTTCCCTTTCCCTTTCCCTTTCCCTCAGCTTCAGGAGCCTTTCCAGGGATGGTGGTGCCTGGGCCCACCCTGACCCACCCCTCCCTAGACCCACCCTGGCCGATGCAAGAGGGAGGAAGCAGAAGACAAGGAAGGGTTGGGGGAGCCCCCTTGACCTGATCTGAAGGCAGGGCAGCAGGCAGGAGGTGGGCGAGCGAGTGGGGCTGGGGTCCCTGGGGCAGGAGAGCCCTGGCTCTGGCTCCAGCTCCCGGCTGCCAGCCTCCGGCTGGGCGAGTCCTAGTTTGGAGAGCCAGAGGCTGTGGCTGCTCCTCTGCGCCCTCCCCCTCGCCGCTCTCCTCCCCCCAGCCTGAGACAGACAGCCGTTATGAAAATAACCCGATTGGTAACCGACTGCACTTCCTCTCCCAGTGGCCGCTCCAGGCCCTGCAGCAAGCAGGCGGGCGGGCAGATGGGCAGACAGAGGGACACGCGTGCGTGCACACACACACAACACACACACGGCCTTGCCTACCGGCTTCTCATCCCACAGTCCCCAGAGCCAGGCCGAGTGACAGCTTCCCCTCTACCAGTTACAGTGCAGCCCCTGCCTCTGCTCAGGGGCGGGGTGGGGGAAGGCCTGGGGAGGGAGAAGGGGTCCGGGCAGCCTCCTCTCCCGGCCACCTAAAGCCTTCTCGCACCCACTGGACAGAATTCTGGGGGTCTGAGGACAGTGTCTGAGATAGTTAAGCAGTGGCTCCGGAAAAAAACAAATCCCACAAAAATAAATGCCGAGAGGTTCACACCTTACAAAGGCCCTTTTACTAGTATTATCAGGTTGGAGGCTTGTCGTCCCCCTGGGAGGGCAGCAGTACCGTCCCAGCGACAGGGACGGCGCGGAGGCTGGGGGCTGAGCCGGGACTCCCGTGCTCGGGTCCCCAAGCCCTGCCAAGAGGGCCTGTCGGAGCCGCACGGGCCGGTGCCCGGTGCCCGGGGGGGGGGGGGGCAGCCTGTGGCACACCCATCCTGCCCAGCAAGCCGCTGCCCTCTTATCTTCCTGGCTCCCCAGGGTGTAGAGTGGCAGCTCTCAAACTTCCTGGTCCCAGAACCCTCTTTACACTCTTGAAAATTACTGATGATCCCCAAAAGGTTTTGTTTGTCCAGGTTATAGCTATTAATATTTACCATATTAGAAATTAAAGTTGAGAAATGTTTAAAATATGAACTTGTTTAAAAACAATAAGCCCATTACATGTTAATACAAGTGACATACTTTTATGAAAAATAAACTGTATTTTCTAAAACAAAAACACCAATGAGAAGGGTAGCATGTTTTAATTTTCTCAAACCTCTTTCATGTCTGCCTCAATAAAATACAGCTGGATGCTTGTAGCTGCCTCTGTCATTAATGTTACTATATACTGTTTTGGTTGAAGTGTATGAAGAAAATTCTGCCTCACACTGATGGCAGTTAGAAAAGGAAGGATTATTTTCAAAGTCTTTTCAAGCAATGATATTATGGATATTCTTCTTTGCTGCTACATAAAAATATGACAAGTGGTAGTTTCTTAAAGGTTAGTGGCTATGTGGAATCTGAAACCAACAGACTTTTCACTGCTCTTTCTTGCATTTTGAGTTTTGTAACATCAGCCATCAGTCACTGGAAAACATTGCTTTACTGAATTATGAAGATCTTCTAAATGTTGATATATTTCATTATACAATATAAAAAAAAATCACACCTGCTAACAATCACCAGTGATCTCATTAGAAGACTTTAAGTCTTGGGAAGCTAGCTGTCAGCCAGGCTAGATAGTGGATACAAGGTTTCCAAAATGTAATTTTCACTCAAAAGCTCACTTTTTATCAGTAGCAACAAATACTGATACTGTTTTTGAAGTGACAAGCTCACTTCATTCATTTTGAGAAAATGTCTGCCAAATACCCACCTTGGAAGAGTTTTGTCTGTCAGGTGTTCTTTCAAGTTAAAATGGTGTCCCTTAAAAAAAGTGACTAAGTACAGCTTGCGAAAGTGCTTTTCAAGACAACCATGAGAGTTTGGAGTGCCTTATGTGTATTTCACATTTGTTCACACAGAATATTTAAAAAGACACATACTCAACAATCTAGGCTTTATAAAATCAGCACCTTCTACCGTATTTCCGGGGTTTTGTTGGGAGTGTGACGATACGATACGGCGGCTACCGGTGCACGTCGGGCCGCTGCCTTGACCTGCGCCAAGGCCCCAGGCGTTTCACCCACAATCGCTTTCGCACATCGGCACAGGTATTAGCACAGCGGAAAGGGTTCACACCATGGCAGCTCTAAATGTATTATTATGAAAATGGTTTTGACCTCACCAATCCCCGAAAAGGTCTAGCTCTCACCTCCTCTGGCCCCCGCAAAATACCTGGAACCCCTGATCCAGCAAAAAATTCCAAATCCTCGTCTGGCAAATGTGGCTTCTGTGGTGTGGCACTAGCTCAGCCTCCTATGCCTTGACACAGACCCTCGGTGCTAACCAAGCCGACCTGTTCTCTGCACCCCCATCTGGCTGGGCCTCAGCTTACTGCAGTGTCCCTGCACGTGGCCTCCTGTCTGCCTGGAATACTGGCCTCCTTTCCCACCTCATATCCAAATCCCACCTGCTCACAGCTGCCCCAGCCAAGAATACTTCCCTCCCACTGGTAACTTCGCACTATCCGTTTGCTCCTCTACCACTGGACTCCTGGAAGTCCTGATTCTTTCAAATCCATACGCCTCGTTCTTCCCACCCACCAGACCACAAGCTCCTGGGGAGCCAAGCCAGGGGCAAGGTCTAGTGCCTCTAGGTATGCCCAGCTCGGTGCCTGGCAGCGAGTCCAGTGTTTACCGCTGATCAGCTCAGGAGGAAGGAACAGGGAATTCCGCTGAGGAGGGGCCAAAGCCGTAAGGGAAGAGAAGGACTTCCTCCACCCCGGGTACCGCACCCAAGGGCCAAACCACAAGGCCCTGGCTGGACCAGACCACTTCTTTGTTTGGGCACCAGGGGATAGCAACAGCTTTTGTTTTAACAGCCACCTTCCTCTCCTCTCCAAAGGATCTGACAGGTGACAGGTGAAGCCCCTTTCTGGGCTGAATGCCATTACCACTTCGTGTTCTCTGTGGCTTTGCTTATGAAACCTGGACAGCAGGATTTGGTGACAGGAAGTCACAGGGTAAGGGCGGAGGGTGAGGAGGGGAAAGGAGGGGTTGCCTCAGATGCGTGGGGGCTGGATGAGGACCCTTAGCTCTGAGCTCCTTGCTGAAACAGTCTCTCCTTCATGTCCTGAGTCCCTGCTTCAAGGTCAGGCTCCTGGTAAGTCCTGGAGAAATGTCTGTGGAGCAAATACCTGATGCAGTCCCAGGGCTACATGCAATCCAGGATGGCTATGAATGAGGCCCAACGCAAAATTCTAAATTTACTTAAAACATCTTTCATGCTCATCAGTTTTTGTTAGTGTCTGTGTATTTAATGTGTGGCCCAAGACAACTCTTCTTCTTCCAGTGTGGCCCAGAGACACCAAAGGCTGGACACCCCTGCTGCAGAGCCTCCCCTCCAAGCCGTCCTCCCCCTGCCACCAGAGCTCATTCTAAGGCACCCACTTACCCCTGACTGGGTCTCTACTGTCAGCTGAGCAAAATG